GGGGCAGATTGGACGAAACGATTCAACCTGTGGGACAATAACTCTGTAATTCATCGCAGGCTTCACTCGTCAGGGGGAGTTTTCTGCGTTTTATATGACCCCCCCCCCCTCCCTCAAGTGAATGCATTGCAATAAGAAGAGACACACACACACAAACACACGCGCACGAATACACACATTCACACGGTATATAGCTGTGTGGCTACCTCATTATGCAAGTGTTGGCACGTTCATGGTGATTTAAAAACACACAAAAACAAAAAAATGTTTTCTTGGTTTGCTTTTGTTCCTCTTCCACCAGTTTAAAGAAGAAATAGAAAAGTCACTGAAGTGTAAACTGTTGTCTGTTCAAGTTCACTGCAAGGATGCGTTGACAATCAAATTATGATTATTTATTATTTCATTATCATTATTTTGTATTTATTTATTAGTATTGCTCATAGGTTGTTGATCTCCCCTCGTTGTGTCCTCATAAAATGAATCGTTTTGCATTATTATTATTGCTATTGATAATATCACTCACACCTCTGTGGAGCGCACTTTGTAGACATTTCGATGAAGGGAAATAATCGGCCTTATTTATACTTCATTTTTTTCTGAGAAAACGTTTTTTTTTGTTGATTTTCTTTATATTTATTTGAAATTAATTTATTTTGAAGAAGAAAAAAAACATATTTCATTTGTGAAAGTGTGCTTTAAATGTGTCTGTGTAAGCGACAGAAGCTGAAATAAACCGTGCACGTTTTACTTCCTCCTCTCGCGCACTTTCTTTAGAAAAGAAAAGAAATCGAAATAAACAAAAGAAATATTTTGGGGTCTGATGGAAATTTTAAAAATCATATTTACTATAAAACATTTATTTAAAGCATATGAATCGATCTGCTTTTTCTCAGCAGCACCCCGTGTTTGCTGATGGAGGTGTTACTCATTTCTTCTTTTAAAGATTTAATGGGCTCTGCAACATGAGCTCGCGTGTCCGTGGAAAGAGTCGGTGCGCTCGCGCAGAGAGCAGCTGCTGCTGTGAAACAGGAGCCGCGTGGAGGTGAAGGAGGTCCGTCCGTCTGAAAGCAGCTTCCCGGCGGTGATGAATAGGATTTGATACTTGAGTGACTCTAATATTGATCAACTTCTCCGGCTCTGAAGACTCTACTCTGTGTCTCTATCGCGTGAGGGCGGAGCCCGGAAAGAACCAGAAAACATGTCCAGCAAAAAGTAATATACAGTTATGAAGAAAAATGAATCAAACAGGAGCTGCTCTTCCCGCTCAAACACTCTTCTCTTTATTTAGTTCAGGCAGTTCAAACTAAAAGAAGGATATCGTCCCAATTCAACAAATATCATTTCTTTTCTCCAGAAGAACACAAGAGGTCCTGGTCCGCCTCACACACCATAAACCAAAACCAGTGTATAACTTCGTGACGCGTTTGGCTCTAAACTCTCCTTAAACTCAACACGAAGGTCTAAATTGTGTTTTCAACATCTGGACTTTTGGGATTTCTTTATTATTTCTTTGTTATCTTTGTTATTATTCTTGTTGGCCTTGTTGGTCACATAAACACAAAGATGTTGAGTTCAATCTGCTGCAATCAGCTTATGAAACACTAGCGCGTGCACATTTCAGAAGGAAACCAAAAACCCTCAAAGACATTAAAGAAATACATAAAATACATAAAATACATAAAATACATAAAATACATCATCCTCAATGAATCTGTTAATTAATAATCCAATATTACTCTCTGTTTTACAATCATAGAGAATATTTGCACAACTGAACTTATTTCACATGCCAGGAATATATATATATATATGTATGTATATATATATATATATATATATATATATATTCATATTTAATATAATATTTTAATATACTAACATTTACATTCATGTCACATAATTAACCACACATCCAAAGCTGCAGCATAAAAGCTAAAGAGAACAACAGCAAATAAAATAATTGTACATTTTACATTGCAAAGCATTGCATTATGGGGGATACGTGCAGTCCACTTGTGTTCATGAAACCCCTCTCCTCATGACGCTTTATTTTGAAAGTACAAGACACAAAAGATGTTAAAACAAATCTATCTAATAATACTTATTATTATTATTATTATTTATAGAGCGATTTTAAAGATACTCAAAGTGTTTTATGAATAAAGAAAAAGAAACATCCTACAAGAGTAACAATAGTGGGAACCTACAAAATAAAAGCACGTGTGCATGATCTGCACAGCCTCACTTTTTACAGTGTTCAGAGGAACAAACAGTGTTATTATGAAAACAAACATCTGTAAACAAATGAAAACTGACTTCAGCTGGAACCAGAGAACCATCAGATACTTTTATACATAAACATATTTCATATATGTTTCGTCTCCTCTCTCCTCGGCTCAGCAGGTGGTTTCGGCCCATAAACCCGTTATTAATGAATAATAAATATCGGCTGTTATGATACTATTGATTTCTGCGCGTGTTTGTTAAGAAGCTGCTTTTCTCTGTCGTACAACAGCAGCTCGGGCCCCGGATCCCCACCGGAGCAACCCGAGATACACGCAGGCCTTTACAGATGCAAAATATCACGGTCCATAACTTCATCTTCTGTCAGAAGGGTTCTCCTCTGGTCCAGGCGGCGCGATGAAGAGTGACTTTTCACTCTGAGGTGAGCTGAAGAGTTTCACGCCTGTTGTTTGTGGTTTGGATGATATTTTTGCAAAGACCTCCAGACTCCATGAAGATATTAATATTTGATATATAGAATATTGGCACCTTCAAAAAGCCTTTAAAAGGAAAACCCAAATCTTCCCGTGCATTAGACAGAATATGCCTCCTTGTATTTATTCTGAGGTGTTAAACCTTTAAGAACAAAAATATAAAATAATAGTCTGAAAAGGGCTCTGAGTCTTTCACAGACCTTCAAAGAAAACGAGATGACTTAATATGAAAACAAATAAGCAATAAACTAAAGTAATAAACCCATCAATCAATCAAACTGTATTTGTGTTCATACAGGTCAGAGGTCAGAGGTCAGAGGAGTTTAACCTGCTTCAAGTTTTAAGTGTGGAACCGAGAAAACAACAGAAAAGACAATTTAACAATTTAACAATTTAACAGAAACATAAAAACATCAATAAAGAGGTTACGTTATCTATCTAATCAAATAGAATACAATCATAAACACATGCAAGAAAATAAGTGAATTAAAAATGTGTTAAAAAATGATAATAAACCAACAAAGGGCGACTACAATTTTAACAATATGATATATTTAATGGTAGAATTTGAATAATTAATGTCTGATGTGTCTGTTATTGTATCATTCTCATATTTTAAGTTCAGAGGAGGAAACCTTTTATTTAACGTGCATTCGTCAATATTTACAGATCTATATTTTGCAGCAGACAGCGGCTGCATGTTGGTCCGTAACAAAGAATGTCGTACACGGTTCATCAAAGTTTAATTGTGCGGCGGCTCTCCAGTTGAAGCCTATGAATTATACATAATATACAGTGTAATCAATGTGAACAAAGCATCAAGCCTTTCTTCAGACAAAGTGATGGGATGCACATTATACAAAACAAAACAATAAGTCATTATATATTATGTTGCTATATTGTTCCTAAATAAACCTATAAGGAGGTAGACGTTAGTTTTTGTATTTTTATCCACAATAACACCAAAATATTCTTAATTAACGGCCTTCAGCACACGAACTAACTCCTGAGCGATGAGTTCAGTGTCAGGTTTCATCTTCTAGATGGAGAAGTGAGAGCAAGTTAAATAATCCTCTAAATATTACCGACCCGAGTGCAAACAGGTTCATTTAACCCGTCGTAGATATTCCTGAGTTTCACTGGACAAACAATTCATCAGAAGATGCATTAAAACAAAAGGATGCTGTAATTTATAAGAAGCATGCCGCTCACAGCACCTGCACTCTCCCAAATAGTTGTTTTAATAATTAAAAACTACAACAACAAAAGAAAGCCAGTGCTTCCCCTCTATTGGTCGGTGCCGTCCATGTGATCCGTCCTCCAGACTCCACCCAGCACACTGGCTGCTGTTGTTTGTTGTGGATGAGCGGAGAAAAGAGCTTCTCCCAGGACGGCCGTGGTTAATTGTTTGATTTAAATAATTAAGAACCGGGAGGCCTCGTTTTCCTCCGCTGTGTTTTTCATGTGTCGGATCCAAACAGGAGCACACACACACACACACACACACACACACACACACACACACACACACACTCACACACACTCACGTCCTCTCATGCTTGAACTTCAGTCAGCTTACGTCCTGGTGGGGAATAACGTGATGTTGAGCCTCAAGGTTCAGTTGTGAGACGCAACTCAGGAACCCAGAATGAATGTCCGACCTGAAGGAAAAGCTCTGAAGTCATCGGGGAATATGACGGCTGGTTATCACAAGAAAACAAAGACAAGTCTCGCCATTTTCTCTCAAATCGTATATTTTCTGTTCTACCAGCTCTAGTTCAGGTTTGGTTAAGTTTAAGCAGCTAAACTCAGAGTTTGGCAACAGAAACGAGGACTTTAACCACCAAAGATGGAGAATGCAGCCTGAACTGCTTGTACTTGTGTGCTGGCAGTGAGTGGGCGGAGTACATCAGCAAGTGGCCCAATTTAGTCACAAGATGGAATCTATTGGTTTCCTGTC